GAAAAAAATCCGTTCGCCAAAAAAACCGCCCCCCGTCTACCCATGCACATAATTTATTACATGTTAAGCGTCCGCGACGTATAATAGTTTATCGATAATAATAACCACGATACTCTTTATTACCCATAGTGCCGCAACCGCCACTTTAAACGTCGTTTACCGCCGTCAATTTGGTTCCCAAAATATGTTTTATTCCCCTCTGCCATCGCCGAACATTGTCCCAAAGGTAGTAATTATCGCGTCGACTGTTGGACGTGTAAATATTGTTACTGAAGCCGCCGTTACAGCATCAGTCGATATTGGCGGCGGTAGGAGCAGTGGCGTAGCCAGAATTTTCACAAGGGGCCAAACAAAAATTAAATAAATAATGTTCAAATAACAGTGTTCTTAATTTTCCATATATTTGGAAAATATTGATGAYAATGACACGCTCGTCAATCTACGGTGTTTTAATAAATAATAAATATAACATTTTTTTTAAATTTTAACACCCAACCGGTACATAGCCAAAATTAATAATTTTACGATTATTTTTTTTATATTGTATGATATTATATGATACGGCCCATGGGGGGCATGGCCCCTGTAACCCCTCCCTGGCTACACCACTGGCGGTAGGCCTAAAATTAACGCGTTCGAATCACCTCCTGCAGTGGTGAACCCATGTCATTTTTATTARTATATAATTTCGGGCGTCCTCCTCCTCATCTTATAATATATTACGAGTATAAAGCAGCTAAAAAGTATACAGGCTGCGCATATACACATTTTCGTTTACGTACCTGCAGTATATTATGCACATTAAGCAGGTATATATATATTATGTTGTATACAATAGGGTATATAGATAGTAATATTATATTATATAGGTAAAAGGGTACAAAAAATTTACGACCCGTTTTGAAAAAATTAAAATCGTTTGTATGTAGGTATATATTATAAATATAAGAATAATATTTTATTGTTTTCTCTTTGGCCAGAAATAAGAACCAACGTCACTCCCCTCCTCTACCACCTTCAGGAGGTATTACTGACGTACTATGTCGCCACCGTCAAGGCGGCGGAGCTGGTCGGACGTGTTTTCTAGAAGAAAAACGAAAAAACTTAAAAACCTTAAACCATACGACCGCCGCGTCGAGCATTAAATTATGTATTCCATTTCTGTTATATCTTCTGCAGCGTTGGTCCCAAACACGGTTATTTACTGAGTAAGTAACCGTTGTCACTAGCCTGTTACAGCTAGTACGTATAACCTATATACTAAGTAGTATATACCTGCAGCAACGTCTGAAATCTAAATTTTCGTTTCATCTGATATGTTGCGTTGATACWAAACTATTAAAAAAATCAAAGAATTCTTGATAAATATCTATATAGTATTCTATATTCTATATGTATCTTAGTCACGATATTTCGACAATTACATTGCATTTTTATGTTTTATCTCGTATTTAATGTATAGATTCGGCGAAATAATATCGGTTGATTCGTTGATTATACATTTTAAACATGTTTATATGATATTATGAACACACCTATTGATTGCAGATTGCACGTTTTCTCTTTTAATAACATCACGCACGTATTGTCACATGCACTTAAGCTACAAGACATCGACTCTTGTATCGTGTGGACAACGGTTTGTGCACCCATAAGAAAAACAATTTTTTTCATCTATACGTATAATACTTTCATATAGCAATGCGTACACGCTACAAAACATAATCAATGGAATATATGCAGGATGTAATAAAATAACATTTTAAATATGTCATTATTCATAACATGTAATTTAAAAGTCGTAATAGTGTTTGGTCTTATACTCTTATTATCGATTAACATATAATAATATTAGTGTGTATGGTCGTGTGGGTGGGTTTTTGTTGACATATTTTATYGAATTCCTACGCTAAATTTCCCGTGTGAAACTGTGCACTGCAGTAGACAAATTTAATCACGTAATATTTATAAACAATTTTAGTTGTTAAAAATCATTTATCTATTAAAACATATTATAGGTACCTATAATTATATAGATAATATACATATATATTTAAATAAAATTAACTGCATTGGCTTATCATTATAGTCTAATCAAATAAAGTTACACAATATGTGGTATGTTTCTTAATGTGATAATAAACCATAAATTATACGTATTTTGTTTTTCATAATTCGATGTAGGTACATTGCAAAATGTGATTTCTTGGTTTTTATAAGTATATTATGTTTAAAATAAATTTTACGATGACGGGTTACTGCGTGTTAAACACAACACACAGACATTCTGCGATGGTAATCAATTTGAATAATGTTGGTAATTTATTACAAACTTAGCCGGAGCCATTAAATATATATAATATTATACATTATGCTTTTAAGAGCTAACTTCTGTTAGCACTCGTGAGCTCATTATAGACTATACATTTTTTATGATTATTAGGAAATTCGTTTTTATATCAATTAAATAATGTATAATATTATTAAACAACCAAAGCCTTAGTGAGCACGTATAATAAAAAGATTAATATGTATATAACATAAAATAGAATGAGTGGAGTGTTCTATTTTATAATAATAATATATAAAGTCTACTGGAGTAGTTTTATGCCGTCGATAGCATGTACAGCATGTTTTCCACTACTATATACGAACTCCCGTATACCAAGGCCGGCAAGAATTTCAAGACTATATGATACAGCTGATGTCAATATCTAGCAATATTTCTGGCGCCATATATACTGTCCATTTTGATAAACGCGGTCGCATTTGCAGCGATTATTACATACTTACATATATTAAATTAGTTTGGAGGTTGGGTAAGGGTTGATGGAGGAAGAGGCGAAGTATTTCGATATTTTGTAACAACAACTATTATTATACATGTAATTTAGTTGTTTAACTGCTGTGACAAATATTCAAATCATTATTTAGGAATTCGCCGATTAAAAGCCATTTATATTGGTTTCGTTCAATGCGAACGTTAATTAACACTTTTTAACGGCGCCGTTTTTAAACATATGTGCTTACGCAATCCCATGTAATTTTACGCACTTATAATAAATAATCGGAAAATCTGACGACTGCACGTTTGMGCACACAACACGACTGTTGTAATGTGACTAATGTACAGCATAATAACTGCAATGATAACGAGCAGAGCGTTAGTCGACGAATAATAATAATATTATGTAGTATACACAATATGATCGTACGTGTGTGCCAACGAATGTTGTCAGTGCGCCACCGTTAAAGTTATACATTTTTGAAAAGAATTAAGTTGAAATATACTTCGAGGAACTTCTATTATAAAATCTATGATTTTTTTTTTTTTATGATTATTTAAATAAACCAACGGCTACAATGGCCATTATAGATGATGAGATACTATGATTTAAGGTACGTTATTATAGGTAGGTTTTTTGATTTAATTATTAAACGTAGGTATGATATATTATAACATGTGGTGTTATAATATTGTTCGATTGTAACACAGACACGAAATATGAAGCATATTAGTCATGGATTGTTTAGTATTACGTATAGACAAATTGTAAATATAGGTACATATAGGTATATATAGTATACATTTGAGTCGTTAATATTATAATATAGTTTTAGAAAATCTATCTAAACATAAACTGTTGCGATTTCGTTTTTATAAATGTTTTTCTCAGTTGAAAACGGTCCCCGAAAATAATTGCCATTACGAATAGTTACGCCGAATTTAGCATACTTAATAAGTAGGCAATAACAACATTATAATAATATAATATAATATACAAGACAACGGTGCAGAACTCGGTTGCGCGTAGGTATAATATAAACATAATAYCTACACACAATAATATTATTATCATGCTCATTACCTACTCTGCCGTGCGGTGAAAATTCTTCGCCTTTGACAATTTGACAATATCTCATTATAAAAATGTATCCTTATTGCTCGCGGCAATAACGATATATTATATTCGTACAATTGATCGTCGCTGTGCGCGCGCATCATTGTTTTTCCTCCCCCGACCCCTCGAAGCACACACACACACACACATACATATAGGTATATTTATTATATATCGTTATATATAATACGCGTACGTGGAACGTAATTGGTTTTTGTGATTTTTCTCTGCAGACCCAGCTCTCGGTCAAACGTGCATGTAGGTATATACGATAATAATATTTATCGAAGTGGCATGATATAATAATAATTCGTCACGTTGAAAAATTTAATTACGACCCTCCGACGGTGGATTCTCCTGCGATGGTTGTTGGCCGAAACTAAATATATATATATATATATATATATTATATGTGTGTGTGTGTGTGGTGTCTATACTTATTATACCTACATATACGGTGCACATACGGCAAATAGTACCTGCTGTGGCCATATATTGTTATTAATATAATATGTATACATATATTCGTCATTGCGTTATCGGGCGGCGGCGTGGCGCACTGGCACAGCGGGATCAACGTCAGCGCCCCCGGGGGACGAGCACTGCGTAGAGACGCCCGCGGAATGTCTGCTGCTATAGTTTTGTATTGTGTTTTCTAATGCCACGATATTATTTTTATTAGTATAGTGTATACAAAATGTATTTTGTTTTATTCGGGGTTGTAACAGAAAGAAACAATAAGCAACACGTTACGCTGAGTTTTTTTTTTTTTTTTTTTAATGTGTACACAACAAATATTATAACAAAATAATATGCAAAATCGGCAAACTCCGCAGTCAGTGTTTATGATCCTATGACATTATACACATATACTCTCTCGAGCGGTCGGTGGTGAAAAAAAAAATAATAATAATAAATAACTCGCTTATGCGTGATATAATATTAAAACATATACGTTGGTCACGTCTCAAACAATGGCCTACATTTGTGTTCGCGCTGAATACATTTTTTCCCCCGTCGCGTCCGTCGACGGAAGAAATTAAAATAACAAACTCTATACAGAATATGTGTGTGTGATGTTTTTTTTTTCTTTTACAGAACCGATAAGGCGCCTGTGGCTCAGTCCGAACCGACAGAGCACCGCATTGCACGCGACATTAGCGCCTGCCGACCTCAGCTTTATTTTGTTTATAACCAGTAGGCACAGAAACCGCMGGGACGAGCGTCGTGGAAAAAATAAAAACCGTGAACTCTCCGACGGCCGCGTTAACTCGTTCGTGTATGACGTATCACCATATATTGGTCGTACACTATTCTCATAACAGGCACAATAGATATCGTTTTTTTTTTTCGTCCGTCGTGTCGCAGTGATGGTGTGATAATAGTACGACGCGTAATGGTCCTCCGATTGTTTTGAGAAATAAAATCCAAACAGAACGGCACAATACGTCTCCCGTTACGAATCGTATTATCTCGTATAGACTTTGCGATGACCATGTCGTGCGACGAGCGATGCGCCTGTGTAACCACAGTCCGTGCACTGTGATAACATGTTATCATGAATGCGGTTTTCCCGTTCGTTTTCCTCCGGCGACTATGGCGGTGCAGGCTGTTGCTAGTTGCCGTCCTGGTGTTCCACGCGGCCACGGCCACTGCGGCCGGTGTCGAGAAAACGTCAGAGTTCGTCAAAGGAAAAAGTAAGTGTTATCTTCCGATCGCCGTTGTGTGTTACACAATTACACCTTTAACATTATGCTTAACGCTTTYGCTACTTATTTTTAGAATTTGCTTATTGCCCACCTTTTCCCAGCACGCAAAGAGTTGCAAAGAGATATTTACCTCCCTCAATGTACCCAATTGTTATTACTTATTTCTGATAACCCTAAATGTACTTTACTTATTAATTATAAATATTTTTATCGTGTGTTATTTATTCGTTTTTCGTGATCATTAGTAAAATTACATCAATTGATGATTATTTGCTCAGAGMAGTAAATATAATATAATATATTATACTATAAACGTTAAAAATTAAATTTGTGGTTATGAATGACGATCGGCGTACATAAGCAGTGAAAATAATCGTTTTTATATAAAACATAATTAGATTTAAATGTATAATATTTATATTTTAATTTACTGGTCAATATATTTTAGTGATGCGTATTATTTAATAGGTACCTATCTATAATTATTGTAAAATRATACAAGAAACATCTTATCTTATCTTATAGGTTACAACTAACGTCTGTACTCTATAAAAACACTTAATTTGTTTTTGTCTGTTGTTCTATATAGTAATAAGTAATAACTAATAGTATCTTAGAATATTATTTTGTTAATTTAATTACCTACACGTATGTATAGWGTGAATAAAAGAAAATTGCATAGTATATCACTATGATAGTGGCAATGGYRATAGAATTTACAAATAGTTTCCTTGTATAAATATCTTCTGGAGTGTGCAATTAAGCAATCTCAAAATAATTATAAATTTATCGTACAATAATTGAAGTACCTACCATTAGGTAGTAATAATTAGAGTTATTTGTWTTTTGTTATTTTTAAAATAACTCATTTTAAATCATCTATATTGTGTAGTATAATATGTCTCCCAATCTGAGGTCTCATACAACATGTAGGTATCATACCAGATATTTTACTAAAAATASATAACCTCAATTTTATTTCTTTATACATCTTTACAATTCTAAGTTTTCCGAATTTCGTTTAATTTTAGAGGCACAAAAGTATGTTTATTATTTTGTTTTTATAAAAGTCTTCAATTAATTRAATCATTTAATTTTATGCATATTGTATGTCCTTCAAATGGTTYTTTACAGAAAGCTAAAAGTTTGTTTTTGGTAAAAATTAGTTCAATCCACCTTATGACTATAATAGGAAAAAAAATACTTATAGCAATAGGTATAAATATGATTTAATATATAATACCCTTTATTATAATGCCTAAATTAAGACCTTATTAGACTGCAGCCTCTACTCAAAATCGTTTTTATTATACAATGACTTAGTATTGAATTCAAATTTAACACACCCATTTTAGAGAATTACTTCAATAATATTACTCAATGATATTTGACACCTTTTATACAGCGGGCGATTTCCTTGATACTTTTAAAAAAAATAAAATTCGTTGTTTCCTAACTTATTATCACCGTAGCGTAATTATTTTGTAGCATTACGTTAATCTGGAATCAGGGGATGTCATTTTTTAACATTTATATTAACCATCATGCCTTTCTTTTGCTGTATCAAATTTTGAATCTATTTAGTTATGTGAGTTATGTCTAATGTCTGTAAACCATAAACATAAACAGTGACAATAATGAATATAATGACATTGATATAAACCATAATATAGTTATTCCGACTAATTTCACGTCTGTCGAGCCTGAGGAGTACTCGTGTACCTTTAGTCTCGTGACGGCGCGTTGCTGCTGATAAGTTCGCACAAAATTGCGTGTTTAGCTGACTCTCAGCAAAGTCGTACATTATTGTGTAGGCTTATCGTATATATGTACATGTTTTTATTATTATATGAAATACGTGTTACCAAACGCCCGCGAAACGTGTCGAACGCAATCTCGGAGGTCGTGAATATGACAGCAGTTTTAATTTCAACGTMTCTCGTGTGATGTGTATGTGAGTACTTAGTACCTATATTATGGTAGAGAAAAAATGTACATGTGATAAAATGCTGGTTAGGATTATTTTATGGTGTGGTCGTCATAATATTATAACTTATGTTAGCTGTAAGATAGTATTATACCTAAATTTATATGGAATTCGTAAACCTTTAAAATACAGACAGTATATATTTGGTTCGCCGTGCAGCAAAACCGAGCAGCGGAGCAATTTATTTTTGTTTTTTTTCCGTTGGTTAAAACATATTTTTGTCTTACTCTCGTAACAAATAATATGATGAATTTATTTAGTGATTTCCAAACAATCGTGTCATCGCCATTATATTACTCTGTATCCATTATAGGTACCTACATTGAACCATTTTGGTATTCGTATTCAAATCGGCAATCGCCCAATATATACATACAGAGTGATTCTTTTATTGAAAATCAAAGAATACCTTAGGAATATGGGTGCAACTAGGACCAAATTTTTAGAGAACGTATAGTCTTCATACTTTTCTTTATTAATCTCTATGAAAAATCCCGTGCAATTGACAATAGGGACTACATCTAATCTATCTATAGTATATGAATTAGTGTACCTACTAAGTTTGCATATTTGTAATTAKCTTAAAATAAATATAAATTTACATTGTAATATCTATAATATAATAATATAATACTGTATTATATAGGTAACATATTTATWTTTTATTTTATTTTAGCCAACAAATTTTAATTTTAATTAATAAAATTTACTGACTTTTAAATGATATATTTACAATATAATTATCATTCTTTATTAAATTGATAACATCTCTTTTAATATAAAAGATAAATAATAACAAAATTTGAGAAACAGTTTTGCGCATACTCATTTAATTGTTTGCCTCGTTAAAAAAAGTTCATGATTTATTATTTAATATAAATGTTGTTATTTTTTGAGGGGRATGAAGTACATTAATGCATTATCCTAAGATAATACCTGATYCAAAATGTATATAAGAATCACTCTGTATAGTAGTAAATAATGCTCGCAACAAACTATGCCTACAAATAGACTGTATTCTCAATAGAATCTATTATAAATACATATTATATACTTATATAAAAATTGGTGGGATGTGAGTGATACTCGACAATTGTTTGCAATTTTGAATAAAGGTTTATAGGTATTTATATGTATATAATTGTACACACCATTGTATACTGCACCATGTTCGGAACGTTTTTTTTTTTATGTCCAACCATATAGTGTGCCAGTGTGCGATTTCTGAACCACTCACCGATCTCTCGTGCGTATGTGTCCTGTAAAGGGGGCTTTGGGCCGTCTCGACTCTCGAGTCACATCGTGTATGCAAACATATATTTTTAATATCGAATATTATTAACAGTAACAATAATAACGATGAATAAAATATAATTATTTCGGACATGACTTCGGACTTTAGTATAAAGGAAGAACGGGTTTGCTAATGTGTGCGTATCAGATATTGAATTATATAAATGAAAATGTAAAAAAAAATTCACGCTTGACCGAGCGGACAATCCGGGACCGCCGTCAAGAATATAAGAACAGCTTGTTACCCGGTTGGCACACGCGTCCGTTYGCGTTTGACGGGCCACTTCACAGCCAGCACGTTGTATAATATTATACATAAATCCTTCGAAATGTTGAAAATTAATTAAATATAAACTTTTTCCGAGTTCTATGAATGTGTTTGTGCTATGATGACCATTTATTTCGATTTGTCTGCCTACTCGAGTTGTATTTTGAAAAAATGTAAAAAAAAAACTTCTGATTAATTCCCCAGACTGGTTTTCATATTAAATTTTTGAATTATTTCCCGAGAGGCTTACAATCGTTAGAAATGTACGAGTGACAGTCATTAATAATATTTTAATATTTATTACAAAAATATGTACAGGTGCATATAACGAACCGCGTGAATCATCGCGTACAGTATTAATATTTTAAGTCGTACAGGATCATTTTTCTGCAAATATTTTCTCAGCGCGTATTAACAACCTTGTAATCTATTTAGCTGTTGTTGTAACGTGCCTGCAATGTAAATATTATATATGTATTGATATAAGAAACCTTATTAGTTATAATATAATAATATACATCTAATAACATTTATAATTTATATATATATATATTATTTATATTATGCACATCATGCACAAGTACATAATTGTTTCATTCATTTCATACAATCATTATTTCAATATCATAACACGGGGAAAACGTATCTATGTGTAATATGTAGTTACGTTCATAATGTACCTGCACATTATATTTTTAGTATTATAGTTAAATATGATAATACGCAGAGAGACGGACTTACTACAGCTAAGTATATTTCAGCGTGGAGTTTAAACTCCACCACCTGCAGCAATGTGTTGTGAATATATTATATCATTCTATAGGTAAAGCTATATTTTTTTATACCTATGTTGTCCGAGACTATGTTATAGTATTACTATTTACTACCCTATGTATATAATTATGTCGGGGTTGTCGTTTCCTCCGGCATCAAATGCATTGTTATTATGTAGGTATATAGGTACCTACATTTTTTTACCCTATAATAATATATCAATAACCGTATTTGAATAATTATGTATTTTTTTTTTTTTGGTCGTGGTTAATTTAATTTATGTATATCATCTTAAACCATGTAACCACGAATTATATACCCCGCACGGCTCAAAAATCGTTGCTCTCTAGTCTCTATATATACATTGTATATAAGACAACAGATATCGTCTTGAATCGACGTTATACACGTATATAATTCGAGTACATACAATATCATAATATTATATTAATCGTTCCGTACGTGTCAGAAATCAAAATCGTATAATTACACCTCGAGGGTTAGTTCGTTTTCAAGCCCATATACATGTATACGCRTTACATGTTGACGCGGTGGCGGTTCTCACGAACACCGCCGACGATACGGTGCTCGTATTTTAGCGTCCAGTCGTTCTATTATTACRATATATTATAATACAATCGTTGTTATAATTTTTATCAAAAAATC